CCTCCCTTCACTTTACATCCGCAAAGGATCAAATTTGATACCATCTCGGTTGCATCGAAGAAACTTATACTGGTTCTGGTTTTATATCTCAGAGGAATCAGGTACTGTGGTTTTTGTGGACAAGTTGTGGTAATCCAAAGACTTATTGGGTCAAAACCCAGCAGAGGAATACCTGTTGTACCTTTGAGCTTGGTGGTTCACCTGAATTGCTCTACTGAAACATCCAGACTGTGAGGACAGAACCAGCTGATATCTTCAGTCAAGCAAAGCACCTCCACAGATTCCTTCCTGGTTATCCCTGGAACCTAAGATGTTCAAGTCCAAGATGAAAGGCAAGTACTGTGATAAGGACAGATTTACAGTGTGTAATCTTTGCCTCGCTCACTCCTCCATTATAGCTAAACAAACAAACAAACAATTTAAATAGAGGCCTTACATGATATTTTTATTGCTTGATAAGGTTAACGTGCTGGGGGGCGGGCTCTTTGCGCAAGAGGCACAGGAGGCAGAATCGCAGGCAGAGATGTGACACTCACCTCGGCTTCAGTAAATTGCTGTTGACACTGCCCTCTAGAGATGCAAAGTGGAGCAGTAATGCAGCGTGGCTGAGGGCTGGCTGCAGCCGGAGCCCGCCCCTCCCACTGAGTCCAATGCCCCATTCCTCTTTTCTCTTTCCCTCCCCCCACTTCGCCCCCACCCAGTACAGCTCAACCTGGCTGTTAGTCATTTGGAGAAAGGGCTCCAGGTTGCGTATGTCATGACTGGGTGCCTCACTGGCAGGTAGACTGGGTGCTTCAGTGTTTTCAGTATGGGGAGAAGCCTAGGCTCCTACACTTGCCAAAATTAGAGACCCCAAACAGGCAGGATAAGCTTCTGTCCCTGTGATCGGAAGGTGCCAGTTTGTATAGTCACATGTCCGTGGGCCCATGAGCAAGGCCCTTAAACCCCAGCTCCATGGGTGCCGCATGCAGGCTGACCCTGTGCTGTGACCCCCCCAAGCATCCTCTCACCTGCACGTTTGTCTCATGGGGAGCAAGATGGAGTAGGAATAATCACATGGGGATTAATGAAGCATCAATATTCTATCCACTGGAATGACATTCGAGGGAGATGGTTCTGAGTGCATGCAGGCGCCCAGATGCATGCCATCAGCACCACGGCCCGCAAGCAAAAGAACTCCATACATCCATTTATGAACTATTACAAAACCTCTAATAATCTGTAGTAGTAAAAGAGAACTCACAAGCACACATCCAAGAAGGCATCGGTGGTGGCTGTTCAGTAATACTAATAACCTTATTAATATGAGGAATGATTTATTAATGCCAGCCTTTCCGGAAGAGTGTTCAGACACCGAGAAATATGACAAGTACTTCATGGCATGTTGCATACAAGCAGGAACTGACACACTTATTAACAAGGGTGCAGAATCAGGGCCTAGAACCCAATATGGACCCAGCGATGCTGAGCTCACCAACGCCAAGTCGAGTGAGTCAAGTCATCAGGAAATCCATCTGTCAGTTTTCCTTAACAGCCAATCCAATGCAGGGTCACAGGAGGCCTGGAGCGTGTCCCTGGAGGCAGAGGGTACATCCTGTAGGACAGTGCTTCCCAAGCCGGTCCTACTGGGAACTGGGAGGGAGCAAAAATGTGGACTGTCTGCGGGTTCCTGGGAGCGGGATTGGGATACACTGCTGTAAGGGATGCCAGTCCAAATGCTCACAAACTATAGGCAAATTGGAGATCCAGTTCACCGAACCTCATGTTTTTGGACTGTGGGAGGCAACCCACACAAACATAGTGAGAATTTGCAAGTCCTGTACACACCAAGCCAGGGGTGGGAATCAAACCCACAACCATAGCGGAGGAGGCTTCAGTGCTACCCAGTGAGCCTTTCCTCCTTTACCAGGAAATGACATTTATAAAATTAAGTTATATATATCAGCACAGTCATATAAATACTGGACATTTTTCCCATTTAGCTTTCTACCACTGTACTGTATACCATTATCTCCATTTGCCATTGCATGGTGTTCTTATACGTGTTAAATCACTGCTTAAGAGCTTTTGGCCAGTGATGTTGGGAAAGACTCTAGACAAGAATAAAGTTAATTGGATTGAAGTCACATTTCACCTCCGTAGGAGTATATCAGTTTGCCGGCCACTCAACGGGTGCATTACACACAGTTTAATCCTTTCAGACAGACGTATAAAATGACGTTGAGGCTGGTGCAGAAAAACGAGTAAAAATTGCCCTCCGGATAGCAGCCGCACGTCAGCGTTAAGTAGATGCCGACTCGTAATGCGATTTCTACCATTTGCACGAAATGTAAAAGGTTTTACGGCACTGCTTGAGTTGCGCTGCCTTGTTGCGGAATCTGACAGCTGCCTTCAGACGACTTGGTGTAAGAAACCGATGGGAGGTGGTGCAAGTTCTGTCAAACACAAAACACAAAAAAGTTGCTGATGAATGGACAGTGTAATTACGCAGCTGATGTCGTTTTGGCGATTGTTGGAAGTGTGTAACAATTAATTTCGAAATATGCCCTTCGTTTGGCATGCTGCACGCTGGAATGCGACCCACATCCTCCTGGAAAGGCGATGGTTTGCCGTGACCGACTCCGAGTGGGGTGCCAAGATGTAAATGCACGGGGCGGGAAGGACAAGTCAACAAAGATGCTAAAATCGGCAGCGCTGTGGTCATGGATTCTAAGTAATAGGGTAGTAGGCTGAGAAGACTACATTGGTATGAAAGAATGGGAGGGGTGCCAACAGATTACCTTGGCAAGTAAAAGGACTAGGAGAGGACACGGAAACAGGGATCAGATTCTACGCAAAGAGCTTCAGTTTTCGAGTTACCCCCATATCTCCATAATAATAATAATAATAATAACAACAACAACAGTAATAATGGCTTATTGTCAGTGTGCGAGGTTGAGGAGGATATGGAGACAGCAGCAGAACACTCTGACTCTCATAACCATTTCTTTGGTTGTATTCGAGCTGGTTAAATGTCCCGTCATTTTCACAGCGCCCGTCTTGATAAGCAGTCCTTCCGTGGGCGAAAAAAAAAATAATTAAAATGTCCAGTTTTATCAAGCTGTAGTTTATATTCAGTTCGTCTTGGCCTAAAGTAAAGGTGAACATACATAGATCCAAGCAAATTGAATTTAATTAAACTGACATAAAAGCCTGCGGAATACAGATTCGGGGTCGGTATTTGTGGTTACCGACCACGTTACCTGCTTAATTAGCACTTATTGATAATTTATTGTTTCGAGTCCTGGATACGGCTTTTAAACCCTTGTTGTTTGGTCTATAATTATATTAAGCACACTTTGTTCACACACCTGCAGTGGGATCGTGACCCAGGGGGGGTCGCAAACATCTACCGCCCCAGTTCTCTTTCTGCGCAGAGGCGCGTTTGAGTTTTCATTAGCATTTCAAAATACAGTGTCCCCTTTTATGAAGTCGCAAAATGATGCGTACAGAGCATTTATCTTTTTTGGTATAAAATCGGAGATATGACACCTCTCGGAGCTCTGCATCTTCCGTAGTCTTGATGGTCATATTGTTAATAATAATATCCTGATTCTAATAATATATGTTATATATTAAAATATGTTAATAATGATATGTTTGGTGCATTTGTTTCTTTGCGTGCATTGTAACCTCCCTGCGGTATTCGTTTGTTTATGCAAAGAGGAGACTTGTGTGACTCCGCGATGAAAGATTGGCAGTCGACTTCATACATGCTTGAGTTTACTGAGCATGATTATTTTAAACATGCACTTCCACCAGATTTCCGTAATGATAAAGATGGACAATCATCGTCGAATCAGTTTGTTTAATTTATTTAATAATGCAAAATATCGAATAGCGCCGTGCATGTTATAGCTGGCTGCGGAGACGGAACACAAACGGCACATGAGCGCTCCGGCGGCATCCAGCAGCGGCGTGGAGTAACAGTATACGCAGCTGAGGCGTCGGAGACGCTGATGTCCGCCACGGTCGTAAAAAAAAACAAACAAAAAAATCCATTAGAAATCAAAAACAAAAAGTTTAACGAGACCCAAGGGTACTGCGACGTAGCCCTGGTTTTGGAGAAGCTGCGTCGACAAGGGTTTGTTTGAATCCTCCATGTGCAGGCAGCAGTATTTCCAATGTCGATCCGGTGCAAAGCCGTCTAACTACAGTGGCTGACGTTTCCATACGGTTAGACCGAGTCTGGGTTAATTCGGAGTCGGGTTAACCCGAGATAATGTGTATTGTGCCGAATATTGCTGCTCCTGTCCTGGTTTTCCCCCCGGCTGGTGTAGGGCAACGCGATGCAGTGTGCAGAGCATAATGATCTTTTTTTTTCTTAAAAAAAACCTTTTTAAGAAGAAGAGAAGAGGAGAGAGAGGAAAGACAAAATCCATCAGAAATAAATCGGATTATCGGACAGAATTAGAGAGGCAAGGCTTTGAAAGCCGGGGTAGAATTATGGAAAATTGTGTGAAATGAGTGCGCGAGCGAATGTATATGTGCGTGTGTGTGTGTGTGTGTAGGGGAGGGAGGAAAAGAGGCAGAGAGAGGGAGAGAGAGAGAGAAAGAGAGAGAGAGGGAAGATGAGCATTGAGTGAAGAGCATAGATTTTCATCCAAATCTGTATCTGTGTTTTTTTTAATCCACAACCGCTGCAGCGCTGCGACCATAGACTTGTGCAGGGGGGACCTTTGCGCTTTGCAACATTCCTCTTTTTTCTCCAGTGGAAGTTCGTACCCGTTGTCTTTGGTTGAAGTGTCTAAATGTTTTGATCCGCTTTTATTTCCACCGTCACCCCCCTCCTCCTCTCTTGGTATCCGAATCGCACCATGAGCAGTTTGCGGGGACCGCCCGGTTTCGCACCTTTGGAATGGTGTGGGTTACGCAGCCCGGGAGAGGAGAGCAGCTAAACGCAGATGGAGTTTGGGATTTATTGCGAAATACGTGGAAGATGACCGTCTTTTCTTTGTGTTTCCTCTTGTGCGCCGATCTGCTGGATTTGGCCGTAGGTAAGTCGGGTCCCCTTCTGCAAACGGCGTCGGCTTGAACGCGAATTGTCCAGCTGTTTCCCTGTGAGTTTTCTGCCATTAAAAAAATCCAGAGAGACTCGAAGAAGGAGCGCTGTATGGCCGGGATTTTTACGTGCCAGCTCTGTTTCGGTAACGTTTCGGTTTGCTACGTCCATTGCCCGTTTCCCCATCTTTCGGCAGTTTCTTGCGCAATTCTTGCGTGTGTGTTTCGCAAATGGCAACTTTCTACCTTTTCTGTTCGGGCTGAGTATCCGCTCCTTTCGCGTCATGGAGGCTCGGCATTTCTAAAGCAGCGTCCCTTTCGTTCACTGGCATTTTCTGGGGATGGCACTGACGGGGAGGGTGGCAAGGGAGGGTGCATAACAGGAGGCTGATTCAAGCCGACGGTAAATATTAAGCATCAGATTCAATCGCTTGCGCGATTACGCAGCGGCTGTGCCGGCGTCTTATTTTAGGGGAACCGGGCAATACTGATCTCATGTATACTTTATAATGTTGTGGCTTTAGAAAAAAATCTTTACTTGATGTATATTCTGGATTGATCACGATTTGAGGTTTTCTGCATCCGCGCTTGTTTGTTCATTGATCACATGTGAATGAATTCTTTGTATGGATTTGCGGGCAAAGTCAACTTGATCAATATGTAAAGTACTTCGTATTTAGGGGGAAACATATCTGTTGCATTTTATCACTGTCACTCGATCGCGATGTTAAGTCTGGCTTGTTTTTTATTTAAGCAATTAAAAGTTATTTTTCTCAGCCTACCAAGTTCCTGCGCCTCACGTTTCGCGGTCAGATGTCTTCAGATAGGTTTCTGCGCCAGCATCAGTTATACAAACGTGCGTTTTCGTTTTGCTTTTTTCCCTGCTATGAACGATTTTTCAGGAGGACATGTAGATGTACAGCAGCTGCATCTCGGCTTATGGGGGGAAATCGTTTTGAAAAAGGTGAACTCCAGGTCTAATTAATGCGTGCTTCACATTAATTTTTGTAGTGAGGAAATAATTTCATACACAAAAATTATATAAAAATGCTAATCAAATAAGCTAATCAATCAGAACATTGACTAATGGAGATACAGTATTAATACAGAGAATTTGATAAAACAAATGTAAAAAGTGGGGTTTTATTCACAATTTACCTACAGCACTGGCAAATTTCTCTCTGTCTCCTTTGCGCTCTCTCTCCTCCTTCTACGTGTATGAAGTACCACAGTAAACTATGTTTGCCAATGAGACTCAGTGATTGAGACCTCATGGATAACGAGACCATATGCCAGACTAAGTTTGCGACGTGAAAGAAGATGCATTTGGATGACGATCCCCAGCTAAGCCACAACGTCACGACATCAATTCTGCTTCATGCCACCTGCTTCTCCCTAGCTGCTGACCTCCGGGTGGCATTTAAGCCCGACACGACCTGGCAACGTGAGAAAGCGGGGCCCTTTGATCCAACCGTGCTCAGAGTGAGACGTGACCGGTGTAGGCTCGATCCATAACTGCACATGCTGACCGGCATAAGCCTCTGATTCTCGATTCAGCCCCGATGGGTCAGGGTATTCCATCTCAACACCTGTTGCCCTGAAACCTTGATCACACTCCAACCCACATTCACACAAGGTTGTAGCGTCCATTCTCTCGCATCTACAAAGTGATTTCTTTGCTCCAGCTATTTCGGGGTGGGCCGTACTAGTCAAACTGGATTCCCGCTTGCGCTCAGTGCTCCCAGTACTTCCACGCAGGTGTCGACGTGGTCTAACCGCTGACCTGACTGCCCATAATTAAACGGCCGGAGCTTCTTTTCCGCGGCAGATAGAGTTCATCTCGTCAAAAGGTGTCTCCCTCTTGGAGCATATCTGCAAGCCTTGGGTCTAATTGATGGGCTCTGCTTGCTTCATACCATCAGCTCCCGATCCGTCGAACTCTTCCGCCAGGCTCACAGCTCGCTCAACCATTCCCTTGCCGAAGGAGCCCCAGTAATTCTTGCTGATGTGTCTTAGAGACAGACCGATGATGCATCACTGGCTATATCCAATGTGATTAGCAGTTGGCTGGCAGTTTTCGCCTTCTCCCTAGAGTTCAGGAGCCAGGCCCGCGTTCCGGCCCGATTCGAGCAGATGGAGAATTATGTATACTCCGGTAGACCGCCAAAATCAAATGAACAGACTTATCTTGATAGCGCACCACTATCCAATCTGAACTGGACAGGTGAGGTTTTATGACTTTTATGATTGTTATCTTGCTTGCCAGGCGGGCACACGGTCACATGGAATCAGACCCATTAACTCCCACAGAACCTGCTCACAGAAGCAGCTAAAGAGGCCGATGAGCATCGATGCATCCGGTCCTGGGAGTCGCCGTCATGTGAGAAGAAGCAGATTGTAGTGGTCTGTGTGTTTGGGGAACCAATTTGTAAAACATCCCCCAGACAAAGCGGCGAGTTGTAGCATCTCTGTGCAGCCAGTGACATATGTAGGTCTTTACTCGTAATGAGATGCCATTTATTTGCGAGTTTAAAAAGAATCCACTTGGGATCTTGGGCTATTGATTTTTATTTTTTTTGCAAACTGGACTTGCTTCGCTTGACAAGCCAATCTCAGTCTCGCTTGCTCTCGTTTTTTTTTTTCTTTCCTTTTTTCAATATCACATGCTTCATGGACTTTCGGTTATTGATAGACTGGGACTTCAAGTTGCTGGTTTAGTTGCGGTGATGGTCTTGAGGGAGAGCAGTGTTAGCTTGGAGTGGTGACTGTTTGAGTGGAATCTGAAACATGCTTTGCCTCTGATGGCTGCTGAGTCCCAGTTGACGCCGCCGCTGTTCCTGCCCCCTGGGCCGGGTGCACTCTCTGCTGGACACATGCCTACCATAGTGCTGGAAGCTGTGCTTCTCAGTCTGGCCCTTGGGGACCCCCAGACAGTCCGTGTTTTTGCTCCCTCTCAGCTCCCTTACTGGTGTTACCTTACCTTAGGGACTGCCTGGGGGTCCCCGAGGGCCAGCTTGACAAACGCTGGCATTAATCACTGGCTGAAAGGTTTCAAGGTCAAATCACGGAAGGGAAATTTTTGTTGTACCTTTGTGTGTTTTAACCTGAACCAAACCAGTAAAATATTCAGCTGTCTGAAAGAGTTAACTGGTCATCCTGGACAAAAGCAAGATTTAAGTAACAATGCAATACTACTACTACTACTAATAATAATAATAATAATACAGCACACGCAGAATGTTTTATTCGACAGGACTGCTTTAGCTCTTCAATGCCAATATGGGGCCCTTTAAGAAAAGGGAGGGAAAAAGTGATATGGAGTGAGTTGTAAGCAAGCAATTACAGCTGGGGGGGGGGCGGCAAAGAACAATATGGCTGTGAGCTCCGCAAAAACTGCTTCTCAAGAACGGCAGCTTTCCCCATTGAAGGATTTGAGAGCTTCCAACAGGGTATGGGGG